CAAATGTAAAGAATTCCAATACACGTATCACATTCATATAGGATTTAAAGCATGTGTTATCATGTTTTCACAAACCGGACATGAAATTAAATATATCTGAAATTAAGCTCCAGCCCTGCAAAGGCCTGTATTATAACATTATTATTATATTATTATCAAACTATGCTGACGTCCAGGATTTTCCACAATGAAGCTGTATGGATGTTAAAGCCAATGCATACTCTTGCCATTCAGATATTCAAGTGTTCAATTAAAACATGATCTTGGCATGCTGAAGTCTTTTGACATGACTTTAAATGTTTATGAAACGAAATTTTATATGTATATATATATGTGTTTATGAAATTTAGATACAAAAAAGGAGATGTGGCATAATTTCAAATCAGACAACAATCCTTCGGATTCGAAATAAGGAGATGTGGCATGAATTCAGATAAACAAAAATCACACAAAGTCATTGTACGGCCTTCAACAATGATCAAATTATTGAGTCAAACTGCAATATGAAATATTCTGTGATTTCAGAAATAAATCTACTGTTAAAATAAAGACTTTGAGTAAAGAAAATTCACATCTTATTTTTGTTTATGTTTGTCCCTTGCTTTGTGCAGATTAATTTCTCTATATGCATAAAGTTTAGCCTCCTCGGGATTGGTGACATACATGAAATTAACAAAATGATGTTAACAAAATGAATCATAATATTAAAAAAAAATACAAGCCAGGTTGTACATACTATAGAAATACGATTCATGCTAGTGTCATGTCTTCTCACAAAAGAAATAAAATCAAATAATCAAAATTATCTAAATCATCTTTATTTAAATAGGTATATTTAACTTTCTGTAAAATTTACATGTCTCATGCTTTGTCGACAACCATTGCAATAACCCCATCTGAGTGGACAGTGTAGAATTATTACTATAGCTGCAAGGTTAACTTTCTGCAGTAATAGTATAATGTACATGTATCAATTATTGTTGAGTATTCGTCCTGAATATGCATAATAAATCACGAACTGGACATACAGTCGATCAGGAACAAATTAAACTGGAAAACTAGTTGCACAATTTAAACAAAAAAATAATAGTCGTCAGCTTTTAATAGAATTCCGTATAAATGAACATAACTTGAAAATTAAAATAGGCTTATTCAAGAAAATTCAAAGAGAAAATAGAGCGTGTAAAGCACGCCAAATTTTAGATGATGAGGAACACTTTTACCTTCATTTCATCGTAGCATGTAGAAAATTACAAATATTACCGATAATGTGCAAACAAAGATTTCAATAACTATTTAACTCTATTTTTTATTAGTGACATTTGTCTGTAATTTATTTAAAAGTGTCATTAAATTAACGAACATGAAATTTGGATGAGTCATATCACTTTGTACAAATTAATATAAGATATTTCTGTTAAAAACACAATAAATGAACTTCAAAATTTAAATCTACGTTATTTGATGCGATCAGTCTTTTTCCTCGTGATCATAAGTGAAGTATTATCAAAACGTCTCCTTATTTGGTCATTTACATTTTGCCTAGTACTGCTATTTGAACAGTGTGCAACCGTGTGACGCGTCAGGCTGTAAATATATAAGTTTATAACGTAAACATTTTTAATGTATATGGAGCATCACAAGGCCACATGTTCTTAATCAAATAAAAATTATAACCAGTAAAATAATCCTTGGGTCTGAAGTAATCCTTTATGTTTATATTCTGCAAACAAAGTGTGCATTTTTGCCAGAAGAGAAATGGCAGGTCATGCATGCTTTAAATACAGCAATCATAATATTCATTTGCTTTAGTTATGAATACAACTCTTTCTTTTAATGTAAAATGGGAAAAAAAGAACACCAGACGTACCATTATTCTTCTTCAAAACTCTTTAAACGGAGATACATCTGCTTGCATCTTTCTACAAAAATTTCCATTTGTCATAGTTGGTTACATAACCAAAGTAGTAAAAAGAGCTTAGTGTTAGAGATGTTTTCTCTAAAATAAACTAGTTAATACAACTGTATAAAAGTCTTATTGGAATGGTAGAAGAGCATAGAGTGAAAAGCCAATTGTACATACCCCATAATATAATACTAGTAGACTATCAGATAAACATCCGATACGTAAATGTTGAATTAAAATCAAAAGCAGATAACTTACCACAGATTACATAAACACGTCATATACTCAATTATTGAAATAGAACATGTTCGATTCGCGTCAATTAGACAGCAATCTAACGATAAAAATAATCAATATTAATCTACAGGACATTGGTTTATTTTCAAGACTAGCCAGGTGTTCTCCAAAAGAGAGAGATTCAGCTTAAACCAAAAAAGGAGTATCCTCATAGATCTGGTATGTAGGTATGTGTAAACGGTTTAATTTGTATTTTAGTTTTATTCATTATGATACTGCTTTTGGTCTAGACTTTAAAAAAGAATTACAATTTTAATGCTTTACTGGTACTGATCAAAAGAAGCTGATGCCGTCCATGTCAACATCATGGCGCTCACTCGGAAGGGAGCTCATTGGCTAATAATTTTCAGCAAATCAGCTTAAGTGAAGTTACCTTTTCATGAATATTACGTATCATACAATATTTGTACAAATATATACTACATTTTTACATCTACTTTCATTCATGCTTTTGCATATTTTTAGGTTAAAATCCATTGATATTATTTTTATTTGGTGATTTCACTATGTAGTATGAATGCAACATTTATGATTTCAGAGTAGTAATCATCAAAATTGAAAGTACAAAATGTTTAAAATATAAAAGTGTATGTTATATTTATATATATCATCAAATTGCTTATACCTAAATATAACATTTTAAATGCTGGTCCCTCGATAGCTATCTTTACAATTTGATTTCTTTAGTTCTAACAGCTTTCATTCAATTTGATGTCTTTCGTTTAAACATGTATACCTATACACCTAACTATATGAAACATTGATGCTTGCTCTCTTTTTTCGAATAGTGTTTCTGTAGCCTACTGATAATGCCCATTGCAAACGATCACATTTCAATAAGTGTAAACGAGACGAAACTCATAACTCCAAAACAGACGCAATTATATGTATTCATTGTATTCTTGGTATCATTATTCTAATTTCATCTGATATCCTGATGTATTAAAGCACTGTAGTTCATATTTTGCACTCATTTCAAATGTGAAAATATTCAATCAACTCTTATTTTTACTTAAATCCTGTAAATTTCAGTTTGGCTTTACAAGTCAAAAACAAAGCCTTCTAATCTATTTCATTGCAAATTATCGCATCGTAAACATTGTAAATGGGACGAAACTCGCATATCCAAACAGAATTTAAATCCATTGATTGTATTTCGGTTTCATCAAAATGTTTCAGTGATTTCTAAAGTACTGATTTTATCTTGCATTAAATTCATAAGAGTCGAACTTTTTTGTGAAATTGAAATTCCTTACATGTTAAGCTTAGACATGACAATATCAAATATACAACATATCTTTGCAGAACTACATCAGACATGGAAATTATCGTGGTTTTCCACTGAGAGTCACTTGTCCTTAGTATGTTGGTACTTTTGGCACAATCTGTTTCATTTTTTTCAATATAAAACAGTGTTCATATTCACCTACTAGACAACACAACATATTTTAAGATTTTAAAGTTGAATATGTGCCTTCTTGCACCCACAAGAATTTGCATTTGATCATGTCATTATTAGAATTCGATTATCAGACAGCACACGTGTGTGTCAAAATTTTTTGAACGTGAAATAATAAAGTAAAACAGAAAGGACATTCATGACTCAACATGCATTAATGCAATACCTATAGCATGCGGGAACCACATAAATAAGATAATCACAGTTTATCAGGGATAATTAACAAAAAACCGCAAAATTTCCTTTTAACGAGATATCATTGCAAAAGAATGCTGTCATGAAAGTCTTCCAAACGAACACTAATTGAATATCCCTTCTCTGCAAAATTTATTTCACCCAGGCCCTGTATAATGCTGGAAATGCCTTTAAATGTTTTTTGGGAACACCTTTAAAAAAATTTAGGGGAACCCCGGCTAACCCTTCTATTGAAGCATATAACTAGTCTCACAAGATGTCATAATTGTTTGGACAAGCAAGATTAAAGCACTTGAACTAAAAATTGAAAAACACATTGTGTGAATAGACCCAGCCCCTACTATCCACTGCCGTTAGTAGGAACTGGGTCTAGTCAGACTGCCTTTGTTGTCCTGAAATATATATAATATAATAATTTCCAAATCCCTCTTCCCCATAACACAAACAGAATTTATAGGCACATATGGTCAAAAGCTAGATGCCAGGTGACAACAGGCTACCTTGGTATTTTGCCGTTGACCTGTCAAGGAATTTAGGAATATCGCTTGATTCAGGTATATATATATATTTCGGTGTACTGAGAATAAGTATTACAAATTACAGAAACTATGTCTTAAATAACATAAGATTATTATTTACAACTGTCACTCACCTCCCAAAAGGTATAGATTATTGAATCTATGCTGCCTTCATCAATTCGCGAAAGCGAAAGTAGAAAAAAGGTGACCGCCACTCAAAATCGATTGAACATTCGGCAAGCATATCCGTTTTTAATTCAAGTTATCGAATTTACGACTTGTGTTTTAAGTCACTTGGTCGAGGTTAACTAAAATTATCGAAACAATTCACATTATCGACCGTTAATGCATTATAAAAACGTAACCATCATTATCTGCGCGCGAGTAATATTAATTAGATCATCTATGATGGTCGACCGTAAAATATACTTTACGCGCCGACTATCTATAATGATCGACCCATAAACTTTAATTATCCCCGATAAACTGTGATTATCTATTAATGTGGTTTCCGCGTTACATAGGGCGACTCGTAAATGCATTTACGCCCTGTTTTCACTAGCAATTCATATGTACCTAATTGACCATGCTGAATAATTTCGTCCAATCATATCCATCGATTCAAATGACAACACATTCAAGCCAAGGGGGAAGTTAAATAGTTGTTCCCTACAGAGCTTTCAGAATTAATCACAAATCTTTCATGAATAGAAGGTACGTACATGTACTTCAGTCTTTATTTACATAATTTGCACCGGGGAAAGTCTTAAAGTTTACACACGTTAATTATAAATACTCTGTATAAATACATTTGTATTTCGATCTGCATATATATAAGATCATATAAGAATTGAATATTTTTTTTTTGTAAAATAAATACGAAATAAATTGATGCAAGCTTAAAGTTATTACTTATTTTTACCTTTGCAACAGACAAGAATCCTGGGAATATTTTACTATTATATTACCATACTAAGTAAATAAATTATTATAACTGGCACAATTTCGTATATATGGCAAGCCGTTGTGGAATTTATTCTCTATCTATTAATATTTAAAATCATTTATCATTTATTAATATTAAAAAATATTTTTTTAATATTTATAAATCTAATTTGTAATATCAAAAAACCGTGTCATTTTTTTTCTATAATAATAAATGAATTTTTAATATCAAAAAATCATTTATTAATATTTAAAAATCATTTTTTAGCATTTAAAAATATTCACTCGGATAAAATGCTGATTTTTTAATATTAAATAATATGGTGTTTATTTTAATATTGAATAATAAAATCATTTTTGATAATAAATAATATGCTGTTTTTTAATATTAAAAAATTGACATCAATGTTACCTTAAAGCGTTTGATATTGACTTTTCCACTCCAGAAATTAGGGCGAGCGAGAGATTTGAAAATTTTAATAAAAAAAGATTGATTTGCAAATTTTTGAGGCGAAGCTTGAAAAGTGAAGGCAAGCGATTATATTTTTTTTATACATAAAATCATAGGTTCTTACAATATTGATCAAAACAAGATGGTATGAAAATTGATTTACAAACTTGTACTTTGACATTTCTTTAATTTATCAACTGCTGAAGCGTTTTATTTTCCTGTTCACCAAGACATGTAATGCCCACTTTCAACTGCAGCATATTTATGACTTCTTATATTACTTTCTGAGGACATCAGATCTTGAACTGAATAACTGATTTATAATTTCAACTGCCTTCAATGATCTCTATTGAAGGGTCATAGACGTCTTTTCTCCTTCACCGGACATGACTTATAACTAGAAACACTGCGGGTATCTTGTAAGAAGCAGGAACTGCTGATCCTACCGGAACATCTCAGTTCACCCCCAGTTTTTAGGGGTTCGTGCTTTTCGTAGATGTGTGTACTTTTTAGTTTTTTGTGTTATATGTTGATTGTCCGTCTCAGTCGTTTTTGGTGTTCTCGTTTTTGTTCTGTGTCTTTTTGGCATATAAATAAGATGTGGTACATGTATGAGTGCCAATGACTGAATGAGACAACCTTGCATCCAAGTTAAAGTGTATTTAACAGGTTGGGAACAACCCCCCATATAAGGGATATCCCTTAAAGGAGGGACTGTGCCTCAGACAAGGGGTCATTTTGCTATTCAGTGTACCTTGTGAAAAGGAAAAACAGCTTTTTTTAACTTAAAAGGGCAATATACATAATATTTGGAACAACTTTTCTATAAGAGGGGTCCACTTTTTTAATAATAAAGAATATTACAAAATTCTTGGACATGTTCTGACCATAAAATACCAGATATATGTATAGTTCTTCTGGAAAAGTTTCTTCCAATATTATAAATAAGTGCCCATTTGGATATAGAGGTGGTTTAACCAAAAAAATATATATAATTTTTATCCCTTGAAAGATACCCCTCATAAAAGAGAGAGTCATTACATTGAAGGGTTGCCCCGAACCTGTTTAGTGTTTGTTTAAAGTTAACAATTATAAGTCAAAGTACGGCTTTCAACACGGAGCATTTGATCGCACCGGAAATCAAATTTACCCAAAATAACACTGCTCGAACTTTTATATCAATGACGACCGGAAAGCGACCTAGTTCCGCATAAACAATAAAATTTAATGCTGACGATTTCAGATTTAAAAGTAATTTACAGAATCTAAATGTACCTTTTCTAATATCACTTTATTACTACTACCCCATACTTCAAACCCATACAACAGAATGGGCTTGATCATTTTGTCAAAAAGGTAAAGCTTTCATTTTATGGAAAGCTGATACATACTTCCCATTTTCAGGACTTCGTACATGGATTTTAAGGCCTTATCGGATACATTTTTTTGTCAAAATTCCCTGTTTTAGTAAAAACAATTCCCAAATAGTTAAACTGCTCCACTATCTCAATGCTAGTGTCATTGTAAGAAAATCAGAGATTGTTTGGCAAACGTCCAAACCCAAACACTAAAGCCTTGGTTTGTCAAAGGAGGAGACATGAACACAATTTACTATTAAAGCGTCATCCACACATTTTGGCAATTCATATTAAGAAATTGTGTTTTTTTCCCTAAATTATGATATGGATTAGCATTTAATATGGAAGAGTTTAATTCGGAAAGAAAATGCATGTTGGCAGATTAAATGTCCTATATATATAAAGCAGGTACTTGTTGAATGTTCTATTATTAGTGTAGGTACTTGTTGAATGTATTATTGTAATAGTAAGTACTTTTTAAATGTTGAATATCCTATTAGTAAAGTAGGTAATTGTTGAATGTACTTAAGGTATAGCAAGTACTTGATATATGTCATTAGGTGATAGCAGGTACTCGTTGAATGTCCTTCTGTCATAGATGATTTTGAATGAATGTCCTATAGTCAAAGCATGTACTTGCTGAATGTCCTATAGTTACAACAGTAACTTGTTGAATGTCCTATTGTCATATCAGTTACTTGTTGAATGTCCTTTTGTCATAGCAGTTACTTTTTAAATGTCCTATTGCCATAACAATTACTTGTTGAATATCCTATGGTCATAGCAGGTACTTGTTGAATGTCCTATTAATATATTAAGTAATTGTTGAATGTCCTAAACATAAAGCATTTACACAATGAATGTCCTATTGTCATAGCAGGTACTTGTTGAATGTCCTGCCATAGCATTTACTGATTGAATATTCTATTGTCACAGCAGTTACTTGTTGAATATCCTATGGTCAAAGCAGGTACTTGATGAATGTCCTATAGATATAGCAGGTATTTGTTGAATATCAATTGGTATTGTAGGTATTTTTTGAATGTCCTATATATATAAAGCAGGTACCTGTTGAATGTTATATTGTTATAGTAGGTACTTGTTGAATGTATTATTGTAATAGCAGTTACTTTTTAAATGTTTTATAGCAAGTATTTGTTAATGTTGAATATCCTATTGGTATGTAGGTACTCGTTGAATGTCCTTCAGTCGTAGATTATTTTGGATGAATGTCCTATAGTCAAAGCAGGTATTTGCTGAATGTCCTATAGTTACAGCAGGTACTTGTTGAATGTCCTATACTATTAGCAGGTATTTGTTGACAATATATTGGTAAAGTCTTAATATATATATATATATCTATAGCAGGTACTTGTTGAAAGTCCTTTTATTATGGTAGGTACTTGTTTAATATATTATTGTAATAGAAGTTACTTGTTGAATATCCTATTGGTATAGTAGGTATTTGTAGAATATCTGATAATTATAGAAGTTACTTATTGAATGTCTAATAGCAGGTACTTGTTGAATGCCCTATAGTCATAGCAAGTCAATGGTTAATATCATATAGCTATAGCAGGTACTCGTTGAATCTCTTATAATCAAAGTGGATACTTTATGAATAACCTATAATCTAAGCAGGTACTTGTTAAATGTTCTATAGTTATTGCAGGTACTTGTTGAATGTCAAAAAGTGCTTGCATGTACCATTTTCATGTCTTGTATTTATTGCAGATACTTTTTTAAATATGCTATAGCTATATCAGGTCATTGATGAATATTCAATAGCTGAAGCTGGTACTTGTTGAATGTCTTATAGTTATAGGAGTTACTTATTGGATGTTTTATAGCAGGTACTTGTTGAATGTCCTGTAGTCATATCAAGTCATTTATGAATATCCAATATTTGAAGCAGGCACTCGTTGAATGTCCTATATATATAGCAGGTACTTGTTGAATGTCCTATTGTTATAGTTGGTACTAAGCTTGTTGAATCTATAGTTATAACCGGTACTTTTTGGATGTCCTATAGTTATAGCAGGTACTTGTTGAATGTCCTATAGTAAGAGCAGGTACCTGATAAATGTCCTCTAGATATAGCAAGTACTTGTTGAATGTCCTATTGATATACTAAGTAATTGTTGAATGTCCTATACTTATATCAGGTACTCAATGAATGTCCTGTTGTCATAGCTAATCAAATACATTTCTTATCAATTATCTATAATGTTCTGGTCATCAGATAAGTTCATGCTGTGAAGACAAATTAACGAGCTTTTAACTAAATTATTTATCAATAAAGTATTAATTGATTAACTAAATGTTCTGGCAACTATGGTTTGAAAGGAGTATCGATATGTATAATATGCCTTCAATAATCTCAATTTCCGACTACCTTAAAATATTTATTTTGAGTACAAATGAATCATCTGTTATTATGTGATGAACATATAGCGTTCAATGAAACTGCTTCTGTTAAAGAGTGAAAGATAAAGAGTGCATGCATTTGCTTTTGTTTTCATCGATTTTGATTTGTCTTTTTCATTATCGTTTTTTACAGTTACAGGGTATTTTTTGATACGCATGTTTCAATTTCTAATCACATCTTGACAAAATGCATTGTAGAATATTTGTTTCGTTGGCCGTATGTCGAGCACAAACGACGTCTGGCAAATAACATTACGATCAAACCTTTACTAGGGTGGTCTCTAAAAACATCCCAAAGGACTTCCTTTGGGAACAGAGGAGCACAATATAGCACAAAGGACCACACAGGAGTTTACTATAAGCACAAAGGACATATGCAATCGTTTATGTAAGGGTTAAAAAAAGTTATTTCATAGAAAACAATATTCAAATGACTTGTGAAACTGTGTTACAAAGTCGGTACGGATATGCATAAAATTACTGGATTTTCAAGATTATCAATTATCGAAAATTGATATCATACATATATATTT